CGAGGTAGAGAGCGTCCTCACGGAGATCTACGATCTGGGGCAGCAGATGCGCCGGATGAGCATTGGCGGAGGAGAGGACGACTGCAGAGCTGCTGTCTTCTCCTGACAACGACTACAGCGGACGGCCAAGGAAGAGGAAGTGGGGGGCAGCTTCAGTACAGTTCATTTGTTGCCTGCTCCCCTTCAAATTAGGCTACTGCTCTTTGATCAATCAGATAGTGTTAGGTTCATTTTCAATTTAGTCAGAAGCAATAGGTGTGAATGCTGCAGCTTCTCTGATCAGGGTAAACTTTTAGTAATGCAGCCAAATAAAGAAACTTTATTCCCACTGACACTAATGATGGGAGCAGCAGCACCCAAACAAATGAACAGTCTTCTAGCAGTGCCCACAATGCGTGTTCTCTCGCTCTCACACTGCTGTCAGCACGTATGGAGTGCACCATGGCAACTTATCATCGGCAAAGCATATCATATCTTGCCAGTGGTAATAAAAGCACCAACAGCAGCAGCAGCAGCCACTAGCAATTGTCATTGAGGCCTGTGGTAATGTCTACCAGGACGAGCACTACCACTACTGCACAACTACCACTGCACATTAAGCAGCCCCGAACTGGCAGAGAGCAGTACAGCAACAGCAGCTGTGCGACGGCGAACTGTATCCTCAAGTACTGCTTTCGGACAGTTCCTTCTGACAGGCAGGGAAAGAAAGCAACAGTACGAGCGACTGCAGCCGCAGCAGCAGCAGCAGCAAAACACTTGTACAGTGCACTAGCTGACTGTGTGCCTGCTGCCATCAGCAGCTTCGATGTCGAATGCGATGCTGTGATCATCATCACGTTTCCACTCTCGCTCTCTCTCTCCTTCTCTCTTTGGATCACCACCACCACCACCATCATCTGTTCCAGCTTGTCGCGCATGACGACGGCTGGCGCGGCAGAGAAGAGCAAGAAACCCAAGAACGAATGTGAACAGTCGACTATCTGCCCAAGGCATCTGCACCTCTCACTGCTGGCACTCTCTCTCTTTTTCCCTCTCCCACTCTCTCCCTCGCTCAATGTCAACAGACAGCCAGTTTTGTGCCTTTCTTACATTCACTTTTCCTCTTTTTTTTCTCTCCACACTTTTCTTGCCTCTGCCGTACTCTCCTCCTGTCTTAGCATTCACTTTTGCTTAAGTTGAATTTTATGTCGCTTTTTTCTGCTCCTACTTTCCCTTTTCACTCTTCTGCTACCCTCGCGCACCTTTGCTCATTCTTTGAGCTTAAATATCTAGACGAGGAATTCCAATCTTATCTCTTTTTATAAATTTTTTGCAGTAAATTAAATTAATTAGATTAATTAGTAAACAAAGCTTTTTTATTAAATAATTAGCAATGTCTGCCAGAAATTGATATTCAAGTGTGATCATCTAGCGCCATCACCATCAGCATCTCCTGATGAGGAACCAAATGGCCACCCTGGCCAGTTCACTTCCAGTGGAAGTACTTCCTTCATCAGAGCATCACCCTCACCACCCCCACAACTTTAGTAATCTTCATCACCACCATCATCCTCATCAAAACACTCCGCCTGATCTGACTCCTCATCATCCCCACCGCCATAATCATCACCATCATCACCACCACCATCACAGCCACCCAAATCACTACCAAAATGCTCAGCCAAATGTCCCTGCCAATTCATCTCCCGTCTCCTCGCCCTCTTGCTCCTCTTCTTCTTCCTCTTCAGCATCTTGCTCGCCTTCTTCCTCTGCACCGTCCCCAATAGTGACAACAATGAGAGCTTTTCCGCCAATTTCATCACCACCGTCTACAAAGTCCTCTTCTTCCTCCAAAGCGACCTCAAAATCACCCTCGCCCTCACTATCTTCCACGTCGACTTCCACTACAACTTCCACAGCTGCCATTTCCGGTCACTCCAGTTTTGTGAAGCTTTGCCACGTGTGTGGCGACAAGGCCATCGGTGCGTAGGATGATTTAATTGTTGCTGCCACTTAATTATCAATTGTTTTCTCACAACTCCACTCTTCCCTTTTTCTTTCATCAAAACTGCTCAATCACCACCATTTGCGTCACCGCCACTTTCACTCTCTACTTCGACAGCTTTCAACTTCAATGGTTTAACCTGTGAGAGCTGTACGTTTGCTCTTTCTCTCTAATAATGGACATTAATCATTTTTGTTTCCCTTTCATGTTCTTCAATCATCCTTCAAGGCAAATCCTTCTTTAGGTATGTTTCATGCTTTGCCACTTCCTCCTCTTCCTCCTCTAATCACGTTGAATTATTTATATCCCTTTGCCTGCTGCCGCTTCTCAACGACTCACAGACGAAATGCTTTTAAAATTCATGTAAGCAGGCGGCATTACCTAATGATTACTGCACACACAAATTAATTCTGATCATGAACTTGATCTCTTTCTGCAGAAGTTCAAATGCAACCGAAACAACAACTGCCGCATTGAGCTGTACAATCGCAAGTACTGCCAGTATTGTCGGTTGCAGGTACGTGTACAATTACTCTCTTTCTCTTGATTAATCCACTTCTTTTTGTTGTCCTTCAGAAATGCTTCGACATTGGCATGAAAAAAGAGCTGGTGCTCGATCGGAAGCGGAAACACGAGCGAAACGCCGCTTTGAAGCAGGTGGAGCTGATTCGCATTGTACGGGACATTGACGGCAACGAGTCGGCCACGAATGCACTGCTTGTCGAGTTGCTCGCCAAATTTGATCCAGAGTTTGGCCCAAACTCAAACTCATCAAACTCAAACTCAACCACTAAGTCTGTGATAGAAGAGGAAGAGGAGAATGAAGAGGCGGACGACGATTTCTCCCTCCTCGACGCTTTTCCCGGTTTTGCCACTGATCGTAAGTCGCAAAGATCAACAACCACAATGCTAACAGTGTTTACTTTCTTCTGCCAGAATTTGAGCTGAACAAGTACGAGCAGAATCTGATCAACGAGGTAAACTTGGCCTCGTCAGTCTTCACCGAGGAGCTCTCGCTGCAGGTGCGCGGCGAGGCAAAGTCCTTTCGTGAAAGCTGCAACCTGCCGGCGCTGTACATTCGCAAAATAATCCGCTTCTGCAAAAATGTGGTCCAGTTTAAGATGATCAACAAAGAGAATCAGCTGCTGATCATTAAACCGTACTTTACCGAGATTCTCCTCATTCGCTTCGCCTTTGCCTACAACTACGAACACGACGCCATCAGCGTCATTGAGGTGAGTGTGCCTTTGTAATGGACTCATCTTTAATCTAATAAACTGAATCTGCTTTGTTTGAGCAGAATGAAATCGAGCAGAACGCCATTTGGGTAAAGATTGACCTGCTGAAAGAGGCGAATCGGCACTCCTTTGCCCTGGTCTACCGAAAGTTCATGTTCCAGTCAAAGATGGAGATGGAGAGCGATGTCACAACTCGAAACATTCTCGCCACCATTCTCATGTTCCGCAGCAGGGAAAACATCAGCTGTCCGGAGTTTATCAGGTACGTCTTTGGGGCCTTTTTCATTACCTCAATTATAACAACAACTCCGCCTTCACTTTTAGATACTCTCACATTCTGTACAAGCGCCTGCTGAGCAGGTACCTTGAGGCAAAGTACCGGGAAAAAGCAAAAGCGGAGGAAAAGTACGAGAAGCTGATGCACGTCCTCGAGCGAGCCTGCGACATTACCCACTCATACTCGGAGCTGTACACACTGCTCGACATCAAGGAGGTCACCGGCGTTCTCAAGGAGATTTATGATTTAAAGTGAATGTACATGCTGCTTTTTCACTGTTAAAACTGTACACAATAACTGCACACAAAGTTAACATCAAAATTAAAGAGTAGCAACCGTAATCTCTACTAAAGTTATTTTTAGCCAGTTTTTTTGAAAAGCTTTAGCCTTGAGTTGATAACAAACAAAATGAAAAACAAATCCGTATTTAAATACAAAACATTTTAACTTAAACCTTTTGCAATTTGTAAAAACCTCAAAATGCAGCACCATTTTTACTTTTGGCTGCTATTGCTAGCTGTTTTCACTTTTAAGTTTGTAGTTGCCCAAGCTCTAACCGATGAACCAACAACATTAGACACGACAACATCAGACACGACAACATCAGACACAACAACCTCAGACACAACAACAACGCAATCACCACCACCAACGCCACCACCTCCTCCACCACCGGTAAAACGACAATTCAACATTGATTATGATACCTAAACTTGCTTTCTTTCCTCAGAAATACCTCCGACAGGACATTGAGCTGGACTTTAGCGAGGAGAACCTGGAAAAGCAAAAGAGAGATCCAGGCGCGTGCGAGAGCGTGCTTGGGAAGGCGATAATGAATTTGCTGAACAACTACCGCGCCCTGTACAACACCACAAGCAAACTGAGCGTGCCCACTACCTACAATCCCGTTTACGAAATCGACAAGGACACAATGGCCTGGGCGTGGAAGCTGGTGGACAGCAAGTTCAATCCGAAGAATCGAGTCATCCACCAGGAGGACAGTCGCTCTCGACGCTTCTACGGCCGGGACATTGTCGTTCAGGGCAGCTGGTCCTTTGACACGCGAGACCCGACCGGGCCCGGAATGGCCGTCCTCAGCATGCCCGCTTTCCTTGAAGCGTACTTCGACCGGTCGAGGGCCCTCTACCAAAAGTACTACGGCACGACCACCGGAAAGGATGACACCACCGTGGTGGAGGCCGCCGACCTGATCACCTTTGATCCCTTCACTCGACTGCTGTGGGCAGGCTCTGCAGACGTGGGCATTGGCTGCTCGCTAAAGTACACCCAAGAAAAGTCCTTCTTCTACCTGGTGGTGAACATCAACAAGAAGGTGGGCAACGCCGGCCAGGACCAGAAACCGAATGAGCTGCCGCCGCCACTGACGCTGGCGGAGCTCAAGGCAAATGTCCTCTGCCAGGAGTGCGCCCGAAAGGACATGAGTACTGATACTTAGGTGATAATTAAGCCAGTTTATTAGCAATCATAAAGCAATTTATTATTACTGTTTGTCATTATCGACAAATGATGAGGTTGTGTGAAAGTCAGCCATTGCCTCCGGTCTGACCTTGAAGAGAGCCGCCTCTTCGCTGAGCAGTTGTTCGTAGAGGGCGTTCAGCAGTGGCCACCTCCCCAGGTCGACCTTGTAGCGGGCGGCGGTGTACAGCTGCGGCACCAGGCAGATGTCGGCAATAGAAAGCTGATTGCCAATGACAAACTTCCTGCTTGCACTTTCCTTTCCGCCGCCGCCGTTGTACATTTCAATCAGCTCCTGCAGTCGGTCAAACTTGTAGGCAATCCACTGAGTGCTAAAGGAAAGGGCCGCCTGTTGATCACCGCCATTTGCCTCTGCGTACGTCTTCATAAACTTGAAGCTGGACACCGGCTGAATGCTGCTGACGATCATCTCGGCGATGGCCACTGACCGCGCTCTGGTCAGAGGGTCAGCCGGGTAGATGGAGGGGCTGGGGTGAACTCGCTCCAGGTAGTCGATGATGGCCAGTGATTCGTGCAGAGTTTCGGTGGTGCTCTTTCCCTCTTCCCCGCTTACCACCACCACCACCAGAGCGGGAATCATCTGCGCCGGATTGAGGCGTCGGTAGGCGGCCGAGTGCTGCTCCCCGCTGTAGATGGCCACCGGGCGGTACTCGTAGGGCAGGCATTTGTGCTCGAGTACGGCTCGCACTCGCCAGGCACAGGAGCTGCGCGCTGAACCGTACAAAATGTATTTGCTAGTGGTGGTGGTGGCTGCCATTAGGGTTTGGAAATGGAGGAAAAAACAAAACAAACAGTGTGACCTTCGTTTCAGCTAAAATTTATAAGAAAAAGAAGTGATCGATGGGTTTCCAACATTTACTTTACTTTTACTTTATCAGACAGACTTGATAGCAGGCTTGGAAGTGCAAAAATGAAGACTGATAGGGCAGCAGCAGAAGCCATGAGCTGATATGAGCTGCCATTTGGCTAAAAAAAAGAAATGAAATGAAATGAACGACTAAAAGTGCTGATAATGAGAAAGAGACGGAAAAACAACAAAAATCAGCATCCCAACAAATAAGATTTGTTTATCGACTGCTGCGATGAATTGTATTCACCACTGTTACTCATCATCTCTTCCGCAGCAATTTCACTTGCACTTGGGTGATATTGAAACACGCACTCTTCAAACACTTCAACCGATCCCTTTTCCTCTCTTCAAGAACACCTTTCAGCTACAATGAGCTACTCTGGATCAAATGGCAGTGGCGGTGGTGGAGGTGGTGGAAGTTACAGCTACTCACCACCTCCATCACCCCCTTCCTACTCACCGCCCAGCTACAGTGGAGCAATGAGTACAGGTGGCTTTGAAGACAACAGGCCGACGCCCTCACCGCCACCTTCGCCCGGATGGGTTTACAAGAACAATGACCACGAGGATGCGGCTGTCGCTTTGGGTGGCTTTGAGGATAACCGAGAGAATGGTGGAGGTGGTGGAACTGAAGTTATCATTATGACAAACACAGGCAAATCCAGCTCATCTTCTTCCTCCTCTGACACCTCCATCAAAATTGGAGCTAGCGGTGGTCACCGCCACAAGAACAAGCATCACCACAGTCGACCGCACACCTCCAACGTAAACTCCACTGAAGAGGACTGCAACTGCAACGGCTTTTGTAAGTGAAAGTGAGCCACAATACTTGTTGGCATTTGTTAAATTAAATCTTTTTTTCAGGGGTTTGCGTCGGACTGGTTCTCACAGTCGTCGGCGTCATCATTCTGCTGATGATCGGCGCCGCACTGGATCCTGAGCCAAAGGCTGCCTCCAAGCCTCCAGTGCCTCGAGTGCCCACTTTTCCCACCAAAAAACCTGCAAGTAAAAGCAGCTTCTACGTAGGAACCTTTGAAGCATTCGAGTCCTCTTTTTCCCCTGCCTCCATCTCCAAAAACACCTCCTCAAGGGCCTTTATGATCGCCCAATCTGAAGACCACATTAGCATTGAACACAACTCAAAGTCTGCCATCTTCACCTTCAAGTCTCGACCAAAGGGGTCGACCAACTACAAAAGAGTATTTAAATTCAGAGATGGAGAGCCCTTCTTTTTCACTAAACTGGACAACCACCAGGAGACTGTAAACGTCAGAGTGACCATCGAGGTGAACAACGGCTCAAAGGTGTGGATTGAGAAAAGGGAAGAAAAGCCAAAAAAGGTCAGGATTGAGCGAATGTTCACCGACACGGGCATGGCCGTCTACTACACAGTCGACAAGGTCATTTACGTCAGAAAGTTCAAACGAAGAAGTTAGGTAGGAAGTGAATACAGAAATCATCAGCTGAACAAGTAGCAACTAAACCTTTGTACGCTTGTACCTTTTAAGCCGCAACCGGAACTTTAAATTGCTTCAACTTTTGCACATACTCTCTCCTTTACCACTACTGACTAATTCATAAGAACTGTTAGTCATATGAATTGACAACTCAACTTAATATATACTTTGCTGTTTGATTAATATTTTAGTAGAACGTAAATTGATTTTCATTGCTTGCTCTTTTTCTCTTTCACGACAGGCATTTGCACTCTGTTTTTATATTTCACTTTTTTTCAATTTTTAAAATTGTTGCTTTTTATAAAATGTCTAAAACTCAATTAAACGAGCACTTGTGTATTTGAGTAATTAAGCTCCATTTCACGGGTGCACAAAGCCTAATTAATGATCCTGTTGTTTGTCACTAACAATTGACACCGATAAAAAATAGAAATTCACTACTCAGCCTCCAAACAAAGACCGACAAGCCATGGAGTCAGTGGTGTTTGCCATCAGCAATCAAATGGTGACCGACATGACCGCCTACTACCGCCTGCTCACTCAGGGAGTCAGCCTACGGAAGCTGCACCGAGGCTACTACACCGAGATCAAGGACATTGTGGAGAACCGAGCCCGGATGCGTCCTCAACGCCTGCTCGACCTGGCCATCTTCATCGCCTTCCTCCTTCGCTTCACCCTCCACCTGATCATGTTCTACGGTGACTGTCGGTGGCTGGAGTTGTGGCGAGTAGACTACCTGGCGGCCTTCGGGTACTACTACCCGGCAGACTACAACGGCGTCATCTGCTTCATCGTCCTCAACATCGTCCTCTTCGGGACCATTGCCCAGTGGATGCTCTACTTCAGCCCGGTGGAAATGCTCGCCTGGAAGCTCTACTACGACATTGTGGTGAACAGCACGGACGCCTACCTCGACTGCTTCAAGGACGAGGTCGAGGTGGCCAGCTGTCGACAGCAGCGGGAGAAGGAGGAGCTGGAAAAGTGGGCGCTCAATGATGGCAGCTGTTACCACCACCACCTTCCCCGGAAGCTGGTCCACTCGTACGTCCACTACTGCTCCCTCTTCAAGTCCTGGATCAACATGGACCACATCGAGGGTGAGCTGCTGGCCAAGAGGCGGCTCACCTACCTGCCCAGCCTCTCCCCGTTCTCCCGAGCGTGGCTGCACGTCGGCCTCGACCTGCTGGAGATGACCTATCTCTTCCTTCCGGTGACCTTTCGCCTGGGCACGGCGGCCTACTTCATCCACTACTGCTTCAAGTTTGTTGAGCACTTTCCGCGCTGGTACTGGGCGGTCATCTTCTTCGAGGTAGTCGTCTTCAACTACGTGGTCATCATCTTTGTGCGCATCTCGCACATCTGCAGCTTCAACGTCCTCATTGCCACCTACCTCTACGGCCTCTACGTGCACCAGCTGTACAAGGGGCTGCTGACTAAGATCATGGCAAAGTATCGCCATTTTAGCGGTGGTGGTGGTGGTAATGGTGGTCGACCAGCCAGAACCAACAGCGGCGGCGAAGGCGTGGTAGTGCAGATTGTCATCAGCGCAGACATTGACCGGCTAAACACCTTCCTGGCGGAGCACACCCGCGTCTGCTACTACCTGCTCCAGTCGAACCGAGACATCTGGGGCCGCTTTCTGCTGGCCTTCGTGCCCATCCAACTGCTGACGATGATCTTCCTCTCGTTTTACCTGCTGGTGGAGGAGGTTCCCATCGAGTCGCGCACCACCTTCACCTACATTCTCTACATGTACATTCTGGTGATGTTCATCGTCCTCCTGCCGCTGTCGTACATCGCCAGGACGGTGCACAGCTGCGCACCGGCGGTGTACACCGTCCAGGGACTGCTCCCAAAGTATAAAGTCTCCGCGAAGCTCAAGTACATGACCTTCTACGAGCGACTGGCCAATGAGGACGTCATCTACGGGCTCTCGGTGGGACCCATCAGGACCATCACCTTCACCATTGTCGGACAGGTAGGAGTTTTTAAGTGATTTTAAAATTGTGTACAAACGTTTAAAAATAAAAATAAAAATTCCTACAGCTCTGCCTTCAGTACGTCATCAACTTGCTCTTCATCATCAACTTTCGACTGAGTTCCTTTGCCAATAAACTGCTGTGAACATGAAATTGCCTCTTACTACTCGCTGTACTTTTTGTAAAATAAAAATTCATTTTGATTAAAACATTCAATTTGCAAATGAAATAATTGTTCAGGCGCACTACGCAGTCAGCTTATAAAAAATTATCCTTTTTGAAAATTCTTTACCAGCATATAATTTCGCTAATGATTGAATAATCATTTGATTATTAGAATGGAAAGTTACTAATCATTAGTTTCAGTAAGACAGGCAGACAAAATGCACACACACTTCCCAGACTGTTAAGACTGTTCCCTCTTTTCTCTCAGCTTCAGTTTTGCTTAATAGAAAAAATCTCAAGGCCAGCCACATGTGATCTCATCGAGTCACATTAGTTAGCTGTGTGTGTATTACATTTCATTATTACACAAACATTAAGAAATCACAGTATGCTGTGAGGATGAGAACAAATTAAATGAAAAGATTAAAGTGAAAGATAATGTACACTTCTTCTAACCAGTTTTCACTGCTACATGAAAAGAGGTAGAGAAAAGAAGAGAGGAGATGAAGGGTAATACTGGAAAAAATCAAAGCCAGCTCTGTCGGCTTTCGTTTTTGCTATAAAAAGATGAAAATGTAAACACTAAACATTTATTGAAAAATAATTCAACTACTTTTGAAGAAAATGAAATTTTATCTATGCGCTGCAGTGGTGATGGCTGTCCTGCACCAGCATTCAGTTCTTGGAGCTCAGCCATCAAGTAAAAAAATCAGCCATTCCTCGGCAGGCTGCAACAAGGAGGTCTTTGACAACTGTGCAAATCGTTTGCTGATGCTCGGCGACGACAGCTTTGCCTTTCCCACCACACTGGACAAGGCCAACGACCGCTGTCGAGAGCTAAAGTCACTGGAGCACTGCACCAAGGAGTACTCCAAGAACTGCCTGAGAGGAGACACCCGAAACTCCATCTCAGTGTTGATGGTAAGTGGATAAACTAAGAATAATACTAGTGATCAATAACATTTTCCCAATCCCCCCCTCAGTACGGCATCTCAAAGACGAACAAGGGCTACTGCAGCAGTGGCAAACGAAAGCAGGCACTCATCAGCACCTCGCCCTGCATGAACGCCCACAAAAAGCGACTGGCCAGGTACCTGGACGCCATGAACCGAGACTACCACGCCATCAGGCACTTCCCCGACTCCAAACTGCGCATTCCCCTCTCCTGCTGGTAATCTCAGTACAACTATTAAATGCAAAAACTAAACACATGCTAACATTCATCTCCCCATTCAGTTCGTACTACCGCTTTAAGCAAAACTCCCTGAAGTACCTAAATGGCCGGTGCGGTGAATCGGTGCTGAAC